TTCAGCAGAAGGACAACTAAGGAAAAATCCCAGAACAGGAGCGAGCCCAAACAATTAAGGGACAGAAGGGAACACCCCTGAGAGACCTCTGGATGGTATCCACCATTCCTTGAAAATTCCCAGAACCCGGTGGATACTATGAGCAGGAACTCTGCCCAGATACTTGCAGTAAGAAGGGAATGGGAATCAGCTCACTCTGCCCCAGTCAGGCTTCCTTCTTCAATCTCCTGGATGACCACCTTAGCCAATGAAAGGCGGTTCCAGTTCAGATTAATAGCTATACTATAAGTACTTGCAAATCTCCAAGAAGGAACTTTCTGCCCCAGCAGAGTCTGTGTCAGGGGGTTGTGTGACACACAACTGACAACAGGAATAAAATTGAGATGCCTCAACCCCACACAAGACAACTGTGCAGGACAACTGTAAACTGGGCGCTAAGATCATTGGTACAAATTGCACATTGTAGCCATGGCTGGGAAGAAACTTATCATTGTAGACATGGCTGGAAAGAAAAATATCTGCATCATTTGTGGATTTGTGACCTGAGGAGGACTCCATTTTACATGTTCTTCTAAATGGGTATCATTCTTCATTGCAGAAGTTCCTACGTTTCCATGAAGTTTTATAGGTGGGTGAAATGCTTTTAAAAATCAAGCAATCAATCAACTAATATTTATTATTCATTCTATTATTTTCATGATTATTTTTTACTACTGCAAGTACCTTGAGGCCCCTGATTTGTGCATTTGATGGCATTTACCATGTGGCTGGAGCTAAAAAACATAATAAAAAGGTTATAATAATGATACATTGCCACTCACCTGGGTAACATAACATGTTCTCCTTTCTGATTGCACTTAGGATGTTAAATTACTTTTGCATACCATACAAACTCCTCTTCCTTTCTTGTTGTATGCTTGGAGTAGCTGTTTAGCTCAGTGTATGAACTGAAGACACCCACTGAGTTTTAGGAGTTATCAAAATGGAAAGAAGAAAAAAAAACCAAAAGAAATTAGATGATTTAGATATTATCTCTTTGCTTGAGTAGATCTCACATTGACATGATTAGCTGTGATTACAGATTTAGGGGATTTGGGGCTCAAACATAACATTTGAAAGTCATGGCCGTTAAATGAAGTTTATCCTGTTTAATCAGTGTTCCGAAAATCTCCATAAACACAAGATTAGCCATCCTAATACGCTTGCTTGGCACCTTCCCAGCAATAGGAAAGTGTCTACCTAGGCATTTTCTTTGCCACGTAGTAGAAGCTCTGAGTGCAGAAGTAGCTCCATTCAATAACTGGGGAACTGCACCAAAAACAATGCTGGATTCAATGTCAAATCTAGGCAAAGCCTTTTTGTTCCTCTATTTTAAAGCGTATGAACCTGATTCTCCTTTAACCTATTCCAGTTTTACATCCATCTTACTCCACTAACTTCAGTGCAGCTAGTGTCCTATTTTTGCACAGTGTAAGACAAACGAGCATCAGGAGCACTGCTGAAAGAGGTCAGACTGACAACTCTAAATAGCAGACTTCCCTGGTTATCAAAATGATGAGTAGTCATGAAAACTTCCCCTCAATTGTCCCACTAACATGCATCAACATTAAGGTGGAAGGAACCCCAGGAGGGACAAACGGATAGTAACTTAAGTGTCCATGACCATGAGGTCTTTGGCCTCACTGCTGAGACTGGCATAAGGTTGCCAATTAGCATCAACTGCAGTGCAGACAAGAGGGTTTTTTATGTAGACACTCATCTACTCAGAAACCTGTCTCTAGTGGGTTATGGAATAGAGAAGATCCCACACAACTTACTGATTCATTTGATGCGCCTGGATGGGGGAGTATTTAGTTGACTGCACGATTTCACAATGATTGCACACTTAATTTATACAACACAATTTTATTTTAAATTTCTTTGCTACGCATATAACACTGCTTAGCTTTAAGAAATACCACAAACATTAAGAACACAATAACTACATATATCAGAAACAATGCCCCAAATGCGCTTCCTTCTCAAACAATTACAATTACGACTAACTATATAATTTGAATCAATACTATTATTTTTCATAATATACTTACAATTCCAGAATTCCAAGAAGCCAAACACCTAAATATGGTTTCATTCCTCAGTAGTACAATTTAATGGGTTGGCCTCAGTAGTACAGTTCAATGGGCTGGCCTCAGCAATACGGTTCAATGGGCTGGCCTCAGCAGTACTAGGAACAAGTCCCCTTCCTTCAGTCCCACTCGGGCGCTCCGCGGCTTCAGCGTGAACTAAGAGATTCATGTTCACGGACAGGGTGGTTCAGGTGATCAGTCTGATCTGGCCTACACTTGCGATTCTTCCTTCGTTGTTCTGCAAGTGAGGTTACCTCCAAATTGGGACAGTAGGTTACAGTTTTTATTGAGCTAGTTGCTGTCTTGGGTCCCTCCTACCCAAACCTGTCACTACTCCCAAATTTGGGCTCGGATCTTACTTTACAGATTCTTTTGCTTGGTAATCAGTTTGTGTTTGCTGACTATTCAATTTCTTTGGGGGATTTTCCACACCACTGCAGTGACCTTTCTTTCCAACCCTTTTCAAAGGCTCCTAGGATTTGATTTCTTGGAATGTGGGATGTTTGCTTAAGGGTTGTTTTTAGGTTAACCTTGTTAAAGGCCTCTGAAGATAAAATTCAAGAGTTAAAACTTTGAGCAAAGCCCGGACCTTCCGCACATAGGCCAAAACAATGGCCTAGATAAGAA